ATAGATAGATAGATAGATAGATAGATAGATAGATAGATAGATAGATAGATAGATAGATAGATAGATAGATAGATAGATAGATAGATAGATAGTCTCTTAAATGTAACACTGTAAGACTTCTCAATCACCACCATCTCTATATGATTAACCAAAATAAAATAACTTTTAAAACAATTCTCATAATTAGGACCACTTAAAGAAAAACAATAACAATAACAAAAAAAACGCTTTTTCTTCTTCTTCTTCTTTTTCTTTTTAATTTTTTTTTTAGGAAATTTAGGATAAAAAGTTGCTGTGTTTACCACTCACCATTAGTTTTCCATCCTTGCCAGGTGGAGATTTCTCTGGAGAATATTTTGAAAAAATGAAACTTTTTAGAATGATTTAAAATACGGCTGTCAATCCGATTATGGTGTTTGACGCTTCTCCCGACGCAGACCTGGTCATTTCCACGATTCCGGTAGGAAAACCCTAAGAGAGAGAGAGAGAGAGAGAGAGAGAGAGCGAGAGCGAGACCGTGTCCGCCCCTCCGAGCAGGAGGGAGTACTGTAGTAAAGCGATTCCGGGGAGCTTCCATAATACCGAGTAAGGGCAGACCACCAGATATTATTATGGTGAAAATCACTGCGTGTAATTGTCCAGAATAAGATTCTGGAGTTCAGTCAGAAAGTAACAACTTAAGCCACAGTAATAGATCTGATTGTGTTCTACAACTCTGTGCCCAAGAGGCGTGATGTCATTGGTGGCAGGTTTGTTCTGTCCGAAATGCTGTAATCGCTGAAAAAACACACAAAAAAGCTGTTTTTATCGCTTCATGGTAGCACAGCAGGAGACTATATATGCACCATCGTCGTTTTCCTTGTAAGAATCTATTGTATAAAGTTGGGTGGATGAGTGTGAGTCAGGAGTTTTAAGAGTCAGTATGTCAGTCTGATACCCTCTGCTGGATACATATAGTGGTATAGTATGGGGTGTTTCTAATGGCTGAATTGTGGTTAAAACGTGGACCTACACAAAACAAAGGAGAAATAAATGTTTAAATACAAAAAATTGTTACTCGAAATTTGACACCTGCTTTTTTCATCAGACTTTCAACAATATTAAACTCGTTATTCCTGTTTAAGCTTGGAAATAAGTAATTAAATAAATAAATAAATACGGGTACCAGTTATCGTTACTAGCACATTTTCCTTTACGTCTGATTCTGCTGTGGTAGCCTCAGTATCGTTTGGGGGGGGGGGGGTAGTTTAGCATATAAAAGAAATAAAGCGCCTGATCTCATATTTACAACCCACAACGTGAGACAAACACGTACTGTACAGTATATCTTTTTTTCTCAACAACGGGAGCTTTAACAGAGCCTTTAATCCTTTAATAAATCCTTTAATTCGCAATTTCCTTGCATGCGTCCAAACATATTTCGGCACAAGTGTCAAAGTGCAAACTACTCCTCCCCTAAGAACTGAGTTACGGTAGGTTTGGCTCATTGACAAAATTAATATAACTGAATCCCCCCCTATTCTGCATCACTGCATTTCCTACGCTTAATTTGCAGCGTATTCCAACGACCGACCCAGGGCGCTGTTGAGTTATTTTCGTTTTTGCTTTGAATCGAGTAACTGAAACAGAGGGGCGTTTTTACGAACTTCACCCACAAATATGTGAGAGTTAACATCTAAACAGACAGAAGCGAGAATGAGACGACTGACAACAACAGGTGTTCAAAAATGGCTCAGCAGGTATGTCTAAAATGATGCTTGCAGGATTTTAATAGCAGACTAAAGTCTTTCTTATTAACTGATTTTCTCTTCTTCTTCTTTTTCTTCATTTAAAAATTCATTTCAGTTAAACTCTGAAGAAGGGACCACATTAATTCCTCTACAAAAAGATGCCAGAAAGTCGCGAAGTTCAATGATATCTGCATCTTTTAATTTTATCAATTCTATTATAGGATCTGGAATAGTAGGTAAATATTTAATTGGGTTGCCTTTAGCTTTTATCACACTAACTAAATTATATGCAAACAGTTACTTGGATGATAACCTTTGAAAGACTTCAAACTGTTATTTCTGTAAAAATATTGTTGAATAATCAGTTAGTTTTGCTCATTTCAGTGTAACAAGGAGAAGCTTTCATACTGTTCAAGCCCCACAGCTGTATCATATGACAAGCGCCTGTTGCCCTCTTTCATAAATTTAACTCTTTGTTATGCTTACCCCATTAAAATAAGTAATAAAAAGACTGAAATGTGTTTGTTAAGAACTAGTGCAGATGTTGTGCTGCTTCTGTACTCTGCAGTTTTTGCTTTCTGGAGATTGTAAATTTAAATTATACACATTATCAGCTGCAGCAGTACATTTTCCTATTTATTTATTTATTTATTGATTTATTTATTTATTTAACCAGGTTTACCATACGCATTGAACCAGGCAGGGCTTCCCTTTGGCCTTCTTCTTTTGATAGTTGTTGGATTCATCACAGGTAAGCCTACTAAAGATGTATTTTATTTTTTATCTTTATGGGGGAAAAACACACGAAACATGAGTCAAAACAAAAGCAACCAATACAAATAACATATTTTTTTACTTTGTCTTTCATGGAAGATTACTCAATCATTCTACTTATAAAAGGAGGAAACCTGTCAGGGACAAACAGTTATCAGTCACTTGTACACAGCACATTTGGTTTCCCTGGATTTGTAATTTTATCTGGACTGCAGTTTCTTTATCCTTTCATTGGTAAGTTCAGTATTAAATCAAGCCTTTTAGCATGTTCTGGCTAATGCTCTGAAAAGTATTTGTTTAGTGCAGTATTCCTGTTACTGTTCATCTATTGACTTTTGGTTAACAAAAATGAATTGCAATAATAAAATGAATTTTTCTCCTTCAGCGATGATCAGCTACAACATCACAATCGGTGACACACTGACCAAAGTCTTTCAAAGAATTCCTGGAGGTGTAGTGAAACGTGAAATCTCTGCCTATAAATAAGAAAACGTGCAATAAATAAACACTGACATTTATTGTATTCACATTTATTATGTTACAGTTGGCCCAGATCACATACTCGCGGAGCGTCACTTTGTGATCATATTATCAACTGTTGTTTTCACGTTCCCCCTCTCGCTTTATCGAAACATAGAGCGACTTGGGAAGGTAAGTCTGGTTTTTCTATAGCATCCAGCGCATTGTGGTGATGTTAAAGCAGCTTATAAAATATTCACATGTGTTACCAGGTGTCCTTCCTGTCAATGGTGCTGACAGTTATCATCCTCATCATTGTAATCATCAGAGCAGCAACCTTTGGACCCCAAATGTATGAATGAATACTCTAGTTTGCTAATCCACGTAGATTTTTGCTTTATTGCACTTGTGTGTGAAACATGGGGTTCTTTTTAAAATCACCTATTTATCAATTTTACAGACAAACTGATGTATGTTTGTGTTCTTTGATGACTGAATATATAAATGTACCCTCTAGCCTCCCCACAGATGATGCATGGGCATTTGCAAAGTGGAATGCGATTCAGGCAGTAGGTGTAATGTCTTTTGGTGAGTTTGTGTGCATTGAGCTTCTACTGATATTGTACATCTCTAGAACACTTTTAGTAGTACTGTATGTTACCGCAAGACAAGAAAAGAAAATAGTACAATAAAAGCACAGCATGCACATCAGCCTTATGACATCAGGAATTTCATGAAAGAGTGTGTCATTTGCTTAACACCAACATGAGTTTGATTGGTGGTTGAGACTTTTTTCAGGAAGTGTTAGAGACCAAACAAGTTAAGGCTTATAGATAATGGACTAATTATGAAACCGGAAACATGATGGCTTATTGCTGACTATCTTCTTGCAACATTTTTTTTTCCTTTTGTAAAATTGTTGGTCATTAGACCATTACATTACATGGCAATAACACTAAGTGATCCTCATGTATGTCCATGTTTTCCTGATCAAAAGGGACCAAAATGTATTAACTAAGCCATTACTGCTTATTCATCAGTATCCAAGTGCTAAGGCTCAGAATTTCAAAATCCATCATAGCTCTGACCTGCAACCCAGCTTTACTGTAAGAAGATCAAGCCTATTATTTTGAGACACTCAGCCACAAAAGAAAAAAAAATGCTGTTACTGGAAAGCTGCATTCTTGTCAGCCTCTTTTGATGTTTTTTTTTTTATATGCTGGAAAGCTTGGACAAGTAAAAGTGTAACATAAATAATATGCTCAGTTTACCATTAATACCACATGTGTGAAACACCTCAAACTGTTCTTCAGCGTGGTTTTTTGTCAGCTGAACTTCAATATTCTGCTCTGTTTTTGTCCTTAGCCTTTATATGCCACCACAACAGCTTTCTTATCTATGGCTCACTGGAGCAGCCCACTCTTGCTAACTGGTCTCAAGTCACTCACATCTCCGTAGGCTCAGCACTAATAATCAGTGCTGGATTTGCGGTTGCTGGCTACACAACTTTCACTGGCTACACACAAGGTACCATGTAGTACATAATGTATAGCAGGTGTCTGTGCAATTTAAATGCCACAAAAACATGTTTAATTATATCAGAATTTATGCTTTTTAGGAGACATATTTGAGAACTACTGTAGAAATGATAACCTGGCAACATTTGGTCGCTTCTGTTTTGGCATCAGTATAATAACGACATTCCCACTGGAGTGCTTTGTGACACGAGAAGTAAGTAAGACTATTTGACAGGCCAATCAGAAAAAAAATAACTGTTAAATGATTACATATGTGGGGAAGTGATATTCTAAGGGTTTTAGCTACTTTGCACACAAATGCTCCAGCAAAACTTCTCAAATAGAAAGACTACAGCAACGTCTTTTAAATACTTCAGCAGCTTCCTGAGTGTAATTTTGTTTTAGTTTTTAAAAATCTTTTAACAGCTGTAGAAAATGCATATATATTTAAATATATTCATTTTCTCACAAATGTATTTTTCAGGTAGTATCTAATGTCATTTGCAGCCGAGATCTTTCAAAAACTAAACATGCAGCCATAACCATGCTCATAGTTGCAGTCTGCACATCAGTATCTTTGGCCTATGACTGTCTAGGAGTTGTTTTGGAACTGAATGTAAGTCTGCACTGACATAAAATTATTTATTTAGGTATGCTAATTCATTCTTCTCTTTATCTTACTGATATTATCTTCTTCCATCCAGGGTGCTCTGAGTGCCACACCTCTGATCTTCATCATCCCATCTGCCTGCTTCCTTAAGCTTTCCTCTGGCCGCTGGTTCGATGGTGAAAACGTGATACCCGCGGTGTTAATAATAATCGGCTTGTTCATCATGATCACTGGTTTGATCATGACTGGCATCTACCCACAAGGCTGTTCACATGGAGTGGAGATGTTCTACTGTGCAGATGCCAATGCCTCTAACACTGTACCACCTGTATGAAAATAATGTGTCAAATATTTAGATGTCTTAAAAAAACCCAACTTTTTTGTTTTCCTAATGTATACGGACACACTTTCCTCAATTCTGTTATATGTTTATTGGCTGCTAGGTTATTGGTGCTTTGCCTTATATTTCAGACTGTAGGTTGGAAGAGGAAGGGCCCTCCATTAACATGAATTTACATTTTAGTGAAAAATCAGGTTATATAGTTTTTTCAAACTTTTGTCATAAAAAGAAAAAAAAAACTTTAAGGGAGAATTTTTAATGGTGGCCACAACCTAGGTGGCCGACTGTTGTTCTTGGGAATACTCATCATGGATGAGTGTGATATTAAGGTATTCAAATCCTTTTAGTTTTACTTTATTCTAATAAATTAATTTAAGTTATCATTATTATTGTGATTCTTTTAGACTACAGACTTTTCTTGGTACTTGTGTTTATTATATACATGGAAGGGAAATTGTTGGCTTCCGCATATTCCCGCATGATGTCGCTGTAGACAAATAAAGCGTTTATTAAAAGGAAGTAAAAAAAACAAAAAAACAAGGCTTCTTGTGTCTTTTGGCGGACTGCGCTTTATTTCACTAAATGGACACAGTCGCTCGTGGATTTTATTTATAAGTGGTTGAGCTAAGTTGTTACTTTACGTGGTAATGTCAAGTTGTCAGTTTACTCGAATACGCTAGCGTTATATTCTGAAAGCCACATTAGTACTAGGGAGCAAATGAGAGAAACGCCCCGTTTTTGCGCTTCAGTGTTGCGATGCAGCGTCAGAGATGTACGCAGAAAAGTTGGCGGAGTTGTGCACTGTATCAATAGACACACATGTATGACTGCATGTAGTTCATAGGGAGGGAGGGGGGAGGATAAACTACTCTAGGATGGACTGCAAAACGGAGTTATGGATCATTTATCGAGACAGTAGGACTCCACAACCAAGGTTAACTTTTTTTTAAATACTGATGGAAGTTTGAAGCTGCTTAGAAAACCAGCAAGGCGTGATCAGTAAAACGTTTAATTACAATGCATCTCTTTGTTGCTGTTTTTGCAAATGGTGCATGGATTAAGTTTGTTGATTTGATATTCTGTAATACAAATGTTTTTTTTTCTGTCCAAATTGCAGTTAAAGATGCTGTTAAGACATTATAGGACAAAATTTCATATCAGCTTTTGGTTTATAGCCTTGGAGATGGCGTCAGCTGCTTGTAATCCAGTGGTTGGAATCATAAAAATTAGCTTTTTATAGTTGGTCTTTATATTCTTGGCATTCAGAGGCCATCTCATGAGATTTTCAGATTGAAATTCGAAGTGAGATGGAGAATTTGAGTATATGACAGTTTCCAATTCAGTCTTCCACAATAGCTGTACAAAGTTTCAAGTCCTGACTTCAAGTCCCGCTGTGATTTCTCCATTTGTTAAAATAGCATTCAGGCACATTATAATTCTCAAAAAAACAAAACAAAAAAACAAACAAGACAAAATACACCAAAACAAAACACAGCTCTCTCAGTCTGAATTTTATTCATATTCCATAAGTATTGTGTCATCTGAGATCACAGCCACACTCCTTGACAATAGAGAGTAGCAGACTACCTATATCTTTCTGTGGTTTGAGTATTATTTGGAAAAATAAATTAAATTACTTTATAACCTGCTGGGGTGTGGATGAAGACGTGTTTCTTTTTTCTGGCTTTTTATATTTGGGGAGACTTAAGCGACTGCCTCTCACTTTTTCAAACTCAGTCATATGTGAAGATTTATGTAACCCTCAGAACTGTGTTATTTGTTATCGAAATCCTAACCATGCCAGAATGATCAGGCTGACTGTTTTCAAGCACAGTTGTTGCTAACACATACACGTATACTATTTAACGATAGGCATAATTTTTTTCTTGCTTCAGTCTTCTATAAGCAATTAAATAACGCATTTAAGAAAAAAAAGTATTTCTAACTGTAACCATCACTATTCTGTCATTGAATGATACTGCTAACTGTCCAGAAATGTCATGCTGCTATCAGAAATCCCACACAGATTCTCTGTGCTCAAAAGGCAAAATTTTGGGTATTATTTAACAATATCCACCAAGCAGATGCAATACGGGATAAGAAAAATGGGCATTAAGGCCTAGCAAGCTGTTACTGATAGTGAGCTATGGTGTGTTTTAATACTGGGCTGGATGTTTTGAGACTGAAGAAGCTAAACTAGAGAAAATGGTCTTCAATTCAACTAAATTCAGTTTTATTCATGTAAAGCACTTTCATTAAGAAAATTTTGAGAAAGCATGGTTGTGTGGTGATTAGCACTGTTGCCTCACAGCAAGAAGGTTGATCCCACCACTCAGCTATATCAAATTTGTGGTTGATCCCACCACCTAGCCTAGCCCCCACAACCCTGACAAGGATGGACTTTCATAAAGGCATCTAGTTTACTGAAATGTATCCCCCCACTGCTGTAATCCATTATTGTAAATGTAAATGTTATTAAGACATGATCAGATGGTTTTTAGGGAACACTATTAAATGTTCAGTTTCTGTACTATATAACAGAAGAAGATCCAGAGTGTGATTAAAGTTTAGGTGGAGTTTTTTTTTTAGAAAAGTTAATTGAGTCCAATAATAGATTAAATGCTGCTATGAGGATGTTACTTTCAGCATCTATATGGGTTAAAATCATCTTCAATTATTATTTTATCTGAAATCAGAAATCAGATGGATTTTGAGTTTTCCAATTAGGGTGGACAAGACTAAGAGTTAGTCTTTCAAATCAATTAAAACTCTGTTTGAGTCTATGGTTGATTAATTGTTGAGGTTGTGGGTCTTCATCCTCATCATTGAAAGAGTGTCCACGTTACATCCAAGATGAACAGAATCAATTTTTTGGGATTTCCTTACCTGGATGATTGAGCGTGCATCAAGACCTTTGAGCTCAGAGGTTGTTGTAATTGCTTAATTTTTTTTCTGGAGTATCAGTTTTTCCTTGTCTTCCCTCCACTATCTCCACCATTTCTGTCTCCTGTCATGTCCCAATATCGGTCTGGTGTCTGTGTGTCCTGTTGGTGTTGCTGTTAGTGTCGCTATTTGTGTCAAATTTATATCTATTAGTTACTTTCTGTTTTATTTTAATAGTCCCTTATCTCGTGTGCGTTACTCCTCCGCCTGTGCTTCAAGGATTCTGGTAATTTGCATGACTTGGGGGTGTTGACTTATTGATTTATTCTATGAAGAATAAATTGATTTATTCTATTTATTCTAATAATTGATTTATTCTATGAAGCAGAATAAATCATTTAACCGAATAATAAATAATGGATTAACAGGGACTTAGAGGAGAGAGACCTCATTTTTAATAATACACATTTAGTTATTTTATTCTTTGGGAAACCTGAGGATGCTATATTGTATATTTACATTGTGTTTTTGTGATTTGTATTTTCTTGAATATTTTTTGATATGTTTAAATTGTTTTTTTGCTTATTTTTGGTTTGTTTTTTTGGTGGTCTGGGAGCAGAGGGATAACAGGAAGATAAAAGCTGAAGAGAGGCATCTCTGGTTCATCCAGGAAACAGAAGAATGACTTGTCTTTGTTACCAGACTGATTCCAACGCAATAACTGTATGTACCAGTGAAACCTTTCAGTAAATATTCATGTATGTTTTTTTTTTGTCCTTAAACACCTCATGATTGTCTATTTATACAACACTGAAGTTCAAACTAGCCTGTTTAACTTTTACAGTAGTGTGTAGATCCTGCCTGTATATTGGCTATC